ATATATATATATGTATATCTACACATGAACTCAGCGTACCTCACTGTGTGTAGATACATAGAGAGAGGAAGGCAGGTCCTTCCATCATGATGTCGAGAATAATCATCAACTGAAGAGATGTAGAGCTCTGTGCGTTGCGGTTAGAACTGCTTTTAGGAAATGGGGTCTTGGAGCTTGAAGTTTTCGGGGTTGAGGGCTGTATAAGGCTTTGGCAATATAGGGTTTGAATCTTCGGGACTCAGAAAGAACCCTAAACCCTAAAAGGGTTTAGGGCTTAAGGGTTCTAGGGTTTGGGTTTATACAGGGTGCTGGAGGCGCTTCTGAGAGACCTGGTTCCAAAGGGTGCTGTCCAGGGACCAGGACGACCAGAGTACCGTCGCCGCGCACCAAAAGGCCCGCTCGATCTCCCTTCCTTACGCGTTTTTGGGGCTTCGACTATAGGATTCCTGGCTTAGGTTTTAAAAAGACCCCCAAAATATGCAGAATAATAGCATTTTTAGAAGTTTTGGGCCATGATTTTACCTACTTTTGGGGGTTTAGGTAATTAGGAGTTTCGTGTTTCGTTGAAAATTCAGGGCCTTTGGTTTGGAAAACAGGGTGAAGACATCCTGCTACAACCCCAAACCACAAACCCCACAGGCTACACTTAAAATGTAGCAGGCGCCCGTCATGTCCTACGTCACCGTATTGGTTCAAAGCCAAACGGCTGGGGCTCCTTTGAAATGTGATGGTGTCCCTGCCCCAAACCCTGCCTGGTACCTGCAGCACGATTATCGCTTTTGGCTTCTGATCTGAGAAAGGCTTGGTGCTGCAGTGCCCGAGTAAATCCCAAAACCTCTTTAAGTCCTTTTGTCCATAAGCCCTACGCCTTCAGACCTACACCCTGCTCTACATCCCAAACCCCAAGGCCTACACCCTCATAGCTGAAAACGAACTCGCGAAAGGAACCCTAAATGGAAACCGTAAAGTACCGCAATTGCACCCTTTATTCCACTCCCCTCAAGGATAAGCAAACAGATACCACATTGGAGATCCCTATATCAAAGGCAGCATACACCAAAAAGGGCAAGAAACTAAAATCGCAGCCATAACCATACCCTAACGGGCTGAGCCTTGCGTCCTGAACCCTTGGGCCCAGCAGCTTCAGGCTAGCCGGCGTCCACCGTATTTGAGTCTGCACAGCTTTGGCAGTGGCTTCTTGGCTGGTGGTTTAGAAGGGCGCTGTCGTGATTCGCAGGGTTTTAATTACATGCAGTTGTCTAGAATTTTGATCAAATTGGAGGCCTCAAAAGGCGGGATGAAGGTAGGTAGGATTTAGGATCCCTTACATAAGGATTCCTTTTTTGGGATTACAGCACCTACCTTCAACCCCCGCTTGGAGCCCTTTGATACAGGGGCTCTACAAAGCGCGCCAGCGCTGAACGAATTTTGACTCGGTGGACTGATCAGGATAGGGTTTTTGGGTCCCATCCACACGTCTGGAGTGATTTCTTCGTAGCCAAAAAACAAGTAATGTAGGGGCCTTAATAATTAGAACAGGGTTTGGGGGCCCATTAGATTATATTTATGTTCAGGAACCCCCGCAATAGTACAGGCAAGTATTGTACGCCCCCTACATTACCGCTGATGTTGTCAAGGCGGCCAAGCCCCAAGTTGCTCCTGCTGCGGTCGAAATGTGAGATCTTGTTCTGTTCTCTCTGACCCCCTTTAAACTCAAACCCGAAACCCTAAACCCTAAACCGTCTCTGAGCCCCCATAAACTCTAAATCCTAATCTACGGTTTGTCGGGGCAAAGGGGGGGCGGGAAGGAGCGGCCCCTGCAGAAATTGGTTCGATGGCTGAAGAAGGCAGTTAAACCAACCTCCTAAACTCCAAAAGCCCTTCGCAACCCTAAACTCTACCCATGGGCCCCATAGTATATAGTTCCTTTTTGGGCTTCATATTTAGAATCCTACAGTATAAGGTACCCATCACCCCATACAGTAGTAGTTCCTTTTTGGGCTTCATATTTAGAATCCTATAAGGTAATCCCAAAAAGGAGCTACTTTGGGGCCTCTGGGTAGACCCTGAATCCTGACCCTCAAACCATAAACCTTAAACACAAAACCTACTTTTTTGTAGGGTCCCTGGTCCCTATAAATCCCATATTAGGGCTTATAATAGGAACCTACAAAAAGGTGGGTTTTGGGTTCTTAAGGTAAACCTTAGACTCAAAACCCCGAACTCGGCCTCATCTTCCTGATCCGGTGAGAAGGCGCAGCCATTGTACCCAAGGCTCCAACTGTCCTCGCCGGAGTTGTGAGAGCCAGCCCTTACCCAAGGGCTCCTATGTAGCTCCTGTTTGGATATTATATCATAATTCCTTACCAAAAAACCATAACAGACCCCAAAAAGGAACTACATTGGAGGCCGTGGGTAAACACTGTCAGGCTTCACAGTGCATGGCATCGATACCTGGGAGCCTTCTACAGCGTAGTTGCGCTCCCGTCTTACCACAAATTGCGGCTTGCTTGCAAGTCTGGGTCTAGATAGGACTAGGGTGAGGCTTTGCGATTTACTTATATAGGGGGTCTCCCTAAAACCAACCCATACCCCCGAAGCTCAGAACCCCCTGCTCCTTGACATCGCATCCCATGAGGATCTCATCCATGGAGGCAGGCTTTTTCGAGGCCACACCCAAGACCTCGTCTTCCCAAACTAATTGGGGTTTAGGGCTTTGGGTTTAGGGGTTTAGGGGTGTAGGGTTTAGGGGTTTATATAGGGTTTAGGGTTTAGGGGTTTAGGGGTTTAGGGTTTCAGGGTTTAGGGTTTGGGGTGTCTCTTCATGGGGATTAGGGTTTGGGGCTTGGGGCTTGGAGTTCCGGTTCACGTGAGGTTTCGAGTTTTCGTCCTTTGTCCCTACTATGGAGCAAGTGAGAAGCCAGCTTTATAAGCCTGATCGGGTTCAGGCTTCAGGGTTTAGGGCTTATAAGGTTTAGGGGTTTAGGGTTTAGGGGTTTAGGGTTTAGGGGTTTAGGGTTTTGGGTTTATGAGGTTTAGGGTTGAGGATTTAAGGGTTTTCGATTAAGGTTGAGGGTTTATCAGGTTTAGGGTTGAGGGTTTAGGGGTTTAGGGTTCAGGGTTTGGGCGCATGGTGGGAGCATCTTCTCCGAACTCGAACACCACGAGTAGAGAAGCCTGAAGAAGTCGAACAGGCTCTTGGAGGCTTGATTAGGGTGTAGGGTTTAGGGTTTATAGGGTTTAGGGAGCCCTAGGAATACTACAGTTGATGATATATATCCTGCATTACCCATAATAGGAGTATACCAGAATCCCCCTAGTTCAGGATCCTTAAGGTAATGCAGGATTTATATCAATCTACAGTATTGGTAGGTAGCTGTTAGCCCGCGGTTATGGTTTGAAACGGCTCAGAGAAAAGATCGTAAACCTCAGACCCCCGAACCCTGAAACTCGACATCCTATACCCTAAACCCTAAACCCTAAACCCCCGAATAAACCTGAATCATGGCACTGAGCATCATTGTCGTAAAGCTCTAAGCCATGCATATAAGGTGAAAGAGTTCAATCCTAAACCGTAAACTCAATAACACCTTCAATCCCAAACACCAAGGGCCCAAAAATGTCTAAACCCTAGAAGCCCTACAGACCCTTAGGGTTAAGGGGTACCTGTTGCGGGTTCCCGCAAATCTCCTTCTGCCTGGCCACCAGGCCATCGTCGTTGCCCTGCCGAACCTCTTCCACAGTGACCTGTGCTTCGTCGGGGCGCGGGCATCGACCCTAAACCCTAAACCCTAACCCTAAACCCTAAATCGAGCTTCCGGTCTATGCTTTAAGGTCTCAGGGTCTCGGGGTTCACGGCGTGAGGGGCTTAGGGGAGGGTTTCAAGTTTACGGCTTTAAGGGTTTGGGGCTTACTCAATTAGTGGTTTGTAAGGCTTGTATACAGGGTTAAATTTAGGGCTCAGGGCAAGGGTTAGGATTTCTGCCCGGTCTTGAGGCATGTAGCAGGGCCTTGACGCTTTGAAGGTGCTTCAGGCTGCCCTAAACCCTACACAAAACCTGAGGCTAATGTAGGGGCCTTCAGAATCAAACTATATTTTTCTGGTATGTTATACTTTAGTTCTCAGCGGGCTCCCAAGGGACAGGAGCCCTGAAAAACCTGAACCCCATATCGTCTTCGCCTCGACAGTGACAAGTAAAACCCTGGTCAGCTGCATGCACGAAAGGCCTTTCATGCCGACCCGCGATCCGTTTTACACGCGTTCACCATGGTTTATGCCTATGCATAAACCCCAAAAGTAGGCAAAATAATGGCTCAAAACCTCTGAAAAACTATTGTTCTACATACTTTTGGGGTCCAGGCGGGCATGTTCTGTGGTTCGGCGCTCTCCGTCGTGGAAATGCACAAAGCCCTATAACCCAACAGCCCGGAGCCTCAAATGATGGAGCCACCAGCGGGAATAGCTATTAATCATTAGGGTTTAGGGTTTAGGGTCTAGGGTCTCTAGGGTCTAGGGTTTAGGGTTTAGGGTCAAGGTCTAGGGTCTCTAGGGTTTAGGGTTTAGGGTCTAGGGTTTAGGGTTTAGGGCTTATTAATCATTAGGGTTTAGGGTCTAGGGTCTAGGGTTTAGGGTTGAGGGCTTACTTAATCTCCAGCTCTTGGGCTCCAGTTACGTTGCGTAATGGTAGGATATCATATACTATGCAGCCCAGTAGCCCGTTATTTAGGTAACTGGAGCCCCGGGACGATTAAGCCTATAAGGTTGCCTAACATACTCATACCATAATAACGTAGGGGCCTTACTAATCAGAATAGGGTTTTAGGGGTATATTATACCATAACTATAGTAAGGAACCCCCCAAACAGCATAGGTAACTATTTAGGCCCCTAAATTCAGCCTAAACCATAAACACAAATTCACCCTAAACACTAAACCCTAAACCCAAATAATATAGGTAACTATTGAGGCCCCTATATTAAGCCTAAGCCCTAAACCCTAAACCCTAAACCCTAAACCCTGTATCCCCTTCCTTTTAAAGAGCCTCCTGAGAAGCAGAGATCCGAAGCATCTGCGAGGCGTAAGTCCCCGAGCGCAAAGCCCTAAGAGCCCGATGAAGTCCACGGTTTAGGGTTTAGGGTTTAATTAGGGGTTTTGGGGTTTAGGGTTTAGGGTTTAGGGTTATCTAAACATGACGAAACCAAACATCCCTTATATATCAACACTAAACCTTGAAACCCTAAGCCAGAAACCCCAAAACCGCAGCCCACACGTGGAACCGACATACCCAAACAGCCTCAAAGTATGCTTCGCCATCTGGGCCGGTGCATGGAAGCGGTCCGTCCCCGAAAGCAACTCCTAAAAGGGTTGTGTTTAGGGAGATTCTGTAAGCATCTTCGAAGGCAATTGGGGCTTAGGGCTTCAGGGGTTCTAGGCATGGGGAGATTAGTGTTCAGAATTTACGCTTGAGGGCTCAGGGCTTTGCAGTTTGTGGACACAAGACTGTGAGCTTCTTGGGCGTCTTCCTGGGATGCAACAAAAGCTTCGAGAGTCGGGCCCTTCTTCGACGTGGGCTTTTTCCATTGCAGATTCCGTAACAGATAGCCCTAACTCTCAAGAATAAGCGTAGATTCATCTGGTCTAGCCTGTTATGCACCGATGCAGTTCAGGGTGGCGATTTGAGGGCTACTAACGCACCTATGGATCGGACAAAAACCCTAAACCCTAAACACTAAACTTCCCTAAACCCTAGACCCTAAACCCCAAACAATAAACACTTAACTTCACCGGTTTCAGAGCGTCTTCGGCCTCGGGTCTACTTGCCGTAGGGAACTCGACCTGTCCCGGGGCGATGGTCGCACTTTCTTGTTTTTTCGCTGCACGCCCCAACGGAAAACTCCTAAATAGTCTATAATCCTAGGAGTCCTTTTGGCGGTCCATGTCATTCCGCCAAAATCCTGCAGTTTACCCTCAGCCGCCAAATACAAAAAACAGAAACCAGGAGAGCCCTAAATCTTCGATCGAACCCTCAAGCGGATCCTCGAAGTTCGTTCCCAGCCGGATCGCGAGACGATGCGGCCAGGCGGTCCTTTCCAGCAAGAAAGCGCTTCAGGTTGGTATTTTTTAAGTGCAGTCGCCCCTTTTCGATCCTCAGAATCAGAAGCTTGCCCTGTAAGGGCTTGCACTTCAACCCGGTTTAGGGTTTAGGGTTGAGTCATCCACTGGAGCCTACATTTTAAGGGTTCTACCCTCTAGTCAAGGGATCATAACCTATTATTTTGTAGGGTTTGGGGTCACAGGTATAGAATGAGAGTCAAATTTTATTCTGCGAACGGTGACTGCGCTACACGGGGATCTCGTACCGAGCAGCTCAGCCGGCTACCTTTAACCCAATCTGCCGGTGGCATCTCTGGCGCAAAGCCCGAAACCCAAGTTCACAAACCCCTGGTTCGAACCAGCGAAGACATTTGGGAGAGCTTCGCAAGTTTGGGGTTTAGGGTTTCGTAAGGTGGGGAACCAGATTGGGGCCCTTACAACAAGGAGCCTATCGCTCCGAGTCCCTGTTGGGGTCCCTTGTTGTGAATGCTGGGCTCAGGCTTCACAATAGTAAACCCCCAAAAAGTTGGAAACCGGATTAAGGACAATTAGTGCTGGGATTCTGTAAACATTACTCTTAAGGATTGAGGCTAATGTAAGGGCCTTACAAATATAATTAGAATAGGGACCATTATACTACACTCATGATAAGAATCCAGCCAAAATAGTATGGTAATCATTGAGACCCCTATAGTACCGCAGTTCCAACTTTTATGGGCTTCTACTGTATGAGGTCGGGGATTCTGAACCTAAACCGGGCCCTGAACCCATGCTCCCGGACCTGATGGATTCATGGTTTAGTTTAATTGAAATTCAGGGTTTAGGGTTTAGGGGTTTAGGGTTTAGGGCTTGATGGATTTATGGTTTCGTATCCTATATAAACCTCAACGACCCCCAAACCCCGAAACCCAGAGGCCCCAAACCCCGAAAAATGAACCGTAATGTAGGGGCCTTAACGATTAGAATAGGGTTTTGGGGTACATCATACTATAAATAGAATTAGGAACCCCAAAAAATACCCGTTATAGTGATCAGGGTTTCAGATTTCGGCTGCAGAGCTTTGGCTTTAGATCTCGGTGTGTCGAGCTCTGGGCTTCGAGAAAGGGAGCTTGCTGAAGGGTTCAAGTCTTCAGGACGAAAGGTTTTGGGTTCAGGTTTCAGGGCCGTGGTTTAAGATTCTGCTTGATAACCAAGCTCAAGAGTATTGAATTTGTGGGCGCTGCACGACCTAAGGCGAAAATCTCACATGTCAGAAGCCCTTAAAAGCACGTGTCCTTTGAGGTAGGCTATGGCTCGGTAGCTACATGGAAAGATCTAGCCTTTGCCCGCAGCCTAGGCCCTAAACTGCAGAGTATTCCTGGTAGTAAATACCCCTTTGTTATTTAGGGTCTTGTGGCCCGGAAACTTGCAAACCTAAACCCTAAACCCTAAAACTCTGAAACCTAGCCCTTGTAACCCTGAACCCTAAACCCTGAATCCTAAACCCTGGAACCCTAAGCCCTAGAAGCTTAGAGCCCTGACTGCTAAATCCTTAGGTCCTAGAGTCCTAAATTCATAACCCCCTGCAACTGAACCCTGAATCCTAAACCACTACCTAAACCGGCCCAAAGTAAGTGAAATAATGGCCCAAAACCTCTAAGAGGCTGTTATTCCACAAACTTTTGGGGTCCAGTTGACACTCCAAACCGAACCTTAGAACCCGAGAAACCCAGAACCACCTCCAACCTCTCCATCCTAGAACCCTGGCCTGGAGAACTGAATCCTAAACCGCTAAACCCTAAATCCCTAAACCCTGAATCCCTCAACCCTAAACCTTAAATTCATAAACCCTAAACCCAAAAACCCTAAAACCCTTAAACCCTAAAACCCTTAAACCCTAAATCCCTAAAAACCCCCTAAACCCTAAACCTTAAATCTGTAATCCCCAAATCCGTAAACCCTAAATCTCAAAACCCCTATATAAACCCCAGACCCCGTAAACCACTGCACCCGGCGGTGGCCTTCGCCAGGACCACGTTCGCCCCGAGAAGTGTCGGATCAAGGCCTGTGAAGAGGGCGCCGTCCTGAGTCACTGAGAGCTCCCTTTTGTTGTTATTCTTAGAGTAGGGCTTGTGGGGTTTGGGGTTTAAGGTCTAGGGATTTAGGGAGTGGGGTTCGGTGTTTATAGGGTTTTGGGATTTAGGGTTTAGGGTTCATATGGGAGCCTTGATAATTAGAATAGGGCCTAGGGTGTTTGGGGTATCTTTATGCGTCGGCTTTGTGTTTAAGGTTTAGCGTTCAGGATTTAGGCTTAGGGTTTGCCGTGGAATAGCGTGTATGTGACGGCATCTTGCGACAAGGCTGTGTTTCGGTGGTGGGATATTTAGAGCCTTTAAAGCTTAACAGGTTAGGGCAGTTTAGGCTCGTTGAAGGTCTATAGGGATCACCTTGGGGTTCGGGCATTTAGGGTTCATAGTGGTGTGGGCTTTGGGAGTCTTGCCTCCGGGCTTCCGTTGCAGCGTCCGGAGGCTTCGCATCCCGCACCATCGTGACTTGGCAGACGCGTCCTGGGCTAAGGGTTCAGGGTTTAGGGGTTTTTCGGGTTTAGGGTTCAGGGGCTGCTCTGGGGAACACTCATCGCAGGTGATATGGGGCCCGTTCGTTTTTTGGTTCCCTACGGGTCCAAGTACCCAATAATCATAGGGATTTAGGGCTTAGGGTGCAGGAGCCTTAACCCTAAGGGTTCCAGTACCCAATGACCACATACTCCCCCAAATATTAAACCTACATAGCTACTATCCTTAACCCGAAACCCTAAACCCGAAACCCTAAACCCTAAACCCTAAACCCTAAACCCTCATGTTCGGGCCCTTTGGATCCTTAGAGCCTTACGGTTTTTTTTAATTGGGAAATCCGAAACCGAACCAGAATCTATCGAGGCGTAGGCTCCAGGGCCCCAAGCTGAGGATGAGAGGCTGGCTTGAAACTGCGAGCCTTCCCAGAACACGCCAAGCTGTGAAGAATTCCGCCGTGTCTTTGCAAGCTAGTCTAGATTCTACCTGAACCCCAAATAACCTACCCACTTTTTAAAGACTTCTATAAAAGAACCATCAAGAAGTAGGTTCTTTAGGGTTCAGGTAGAGTATAAAGACAAAGTGCACGAGGTAAGGCCTTCATTGCTGCCTGTCTGCACCCCACGCCTTAAGTCTGCGACGAAACCCCAAAGCCACAATGCTGGATTCCCCTTCCTCCACCATGCCGTATAATACGTATAATATAGGGGCCTTAATAAATAGAATGGGGATTGTGGTATATAGTACTACAATTATAGTACGGAACCCCCAAAACCCTATTCTAATTTGTAAGGGCCCCTACATTACCCAAACCTTCGGTGATGTTTCGTCCGGGGGTGGTAAGATCGGTCGACGCCGACCCGGACTGATGCTGCTTCCGGGCCTAGGCCCTGCAAAAGCCACAGAGCTCGGGGCATACGACATCAAAGCCATACTCGATCAAATGTAAGTACCTTAACAATTAGAATAGGGTCTTGGGGTGTAGTGTGTTACTATACTTATAGTAACGAACCCCAAGAATAGTATTGGTAATGCTTTAGGCCCCTATATTATCCACCCTCCATTTCGGGTTTAGGTTAGGCTTTGCCTGTTCTACCCTAGATACCTACAATGAACAGACATTATACCCCTGTTTGAAGGTACAAGTCCTGGCAAACCAGGAAACGCTTAGAGATCCATACTTTACCACCACGAGCCCGGAAAGACATCGACATATCGCGAAAAGGTCAAATCTTGCAGGTTTGGGGTGTGCTGCTTTAGGTTGTCTCGGGGTTTGTTTAGGGTTTAGGGTTAGTTAACTTCGTACTTTGAACTCTAAACTGCTAGATGAGGGAGAGTTTCCCAGGAGGTCGACGATGGGATAGAAGGCTTCCACATCTGCCAAGGGGAAGTCGTCCGTGACGCGCACAACCACCTTCCCATTCCTGAGAAAGCTTTCCGGTGTCTTTAGGTGCGGATTTGGCGGGGCCCTACACCCTAAACCCTAAGCCCCCTAAACCCCCTAATCGCCCAACCCCCTGCCCTACAACCTAAACCCAAACTCCGTAAACCCTCAGCCCTAAACCTCAAACTCTGTACGGCTTAGGCTTTAGGCCGCTTCTGAACTGCTTGGCTCCTTTCTGAATCTTGCTGCGATCGCAACGACAAGGGGCTCAGGCTTAGGGTTTGTTGGGTTTAGTGATTAGGGATTCGGGCATCGAGGGTTTAGGGTTTATAGGTTTTGGGAATTACCTGAACCCAAATAACATATCCTTTTAGGGACTGATATACAGAAACCAAATATTAAAGAACCCTAAAAAGGTAGGTTCTTTAGGGTCCCGGTAGGGATTAGGGTTTAAGGCTTGTAAGTTTAGTGTTTCAACCTCTGAACGCCCAAGCCGTAGATACCAAAGAAGCAAACGACGCCCTGCGAACGTCACACCCTTGAGCGGCTGACAGGTTTAGAGGTTTAGGGTTTAGGGCTTAAGGGTTTAAGGGTTTAAGGATTAAGGGTTTAGGGCTTAAGGGTTTCAGGGTTTAAGGGTTAAGGGGTTTAGGGTATAGGGGTTAAGGGTTTAAGGGCTAAGTGTTTAAGGGATTGCCAGGTTTGGGAATGGGGTGACTCAAGAAGTTCAAGAATGGAGGATGACATGGTGCTGGCGTCTGGATAGGGTGGGTGTTCCGGCTCCAGAGGGGTGCAAAAAACCCTAAACCCTATTATAAACCCTAAGCCTTGGGTGTCCAAAGCTTGAAGCTTAAACTCTGAGCCTACACCTGCAACCCGACGACCCAAACCTTAGCAATGTAGGGGCCTTAATAATTAGAATAGGGTTTGGGGGGGGGCCCTTTATACTATACTTATAGTAAGGAACCCCCCAAAATAATATAGGTAATTATTTAGGCCCCATTTATTAAGCCCGGAGCACTCAAATAGTCCGAAATCCAAAACCGTAAAACAGCACGCCCGGGCACACAACGATGATAAACTGACCAGCTCGGGATAGCAGAGCCTCGGAGCACTGCGGAACCCCAAAACACCCTCCTTCTGTAGGATCCGGTTGTAGGGTTTAGGGTCTTGGGGTTTAGGGTTTAGGGTATAGGCCCGCTTTAAGGTTTAGACATGCTTAGACGGCTTAGAGTCAGGGAATTTAGAAGGGGCCCTACTTGGGACTCTCCGAAAATTAGGGGTACCTTATTTGGGGGTCCTTATAATAAGGATCCTACTATTTAGGGTACTATATTGGGGTCCCCTATTTTCGGAAACCCCCACTTGTATTCTACAAGAAAAGGGCTTCCGGTGTCCTAGGTACCGGCTCAGAATGTTTCAAGATTTGACTTTTTCGGGCTCATTGGGAGACTAACTTGGGGTGCCCAAAACCCTAAACCCTAAACCCAAAACCCTAAACCGTCGGGGTCCGTCCCTTCCCAAAACTCCATCGTGAAATTACTCGAACTGAGACTTTAGGGCCTAAGAGCTTATCGGTACAGGGCCTGAGCATCTTTAGAGATATTTGGAGTATACCTGGATCCTAAAGACCCTACTTTTTTGGGGGTTCCTTATTATAATTTCTTTATATGGAAGTCCTTAAACAGGTGGGTGTTTTGGGGCTCCTCATTATGATTTCTTTATATAGAGGTCCTTAAAAAGGTGGGGTTTTTGAGGGTTCAGGTAAGGCTGAAGGCTCTGAGCGTTCTGCTTTTACGGCTCCACTCTTCAGGGTGGGCCTACTCTGAACCCTACTTACCCCTCAGTCAGTTGAGAACTTGTCTTTGAGATCCCAGGATACAAAGGGCGAAAAATGTACTACAGGGGAACCTAGTTAGGGACTCTTTGCTGAACAAAGGCATCTCTTAAGCTGCCAGGATTTCATAGTACGCGCAGGAACACCTTCCCAAGCACTGTGAGCTACAGAAATCTGGGCCTAGCGTTGCCGAGAACCCAAAGCCCAACAAAAAGGTGAACCTTTCTAAACCATAGTAGGGTGATCTTATTAGGGTTTAGGGTTTAGGGTTGAATAAGCCCCAAAATGGTCAAAGGTTACCTACTCAGCCCCTAAACTTCGGGACCCTCGCAGAGAAAATCTGCGAGACCTGGAGAGACCTCAAACGATCGGAGCCTTATCGTTGGGACTCCTAAACAAGGGATCCCGTCATAGATGGCCTCCCAAATATATAAGTATATACACATATATATATAAATATATATGATCATATGAGGAAAGCCACCTACTGGTATAGGGGATGCGAAGATGTTCGTTTTGGCGGGCTTTGGGCTTGAAGCCGGGTTCAGGGTTTAGGGTTTAGGGTTTTCTGCTCGGGGGCCCTCAGTTCTACGAATCAGGCGCGTGGATTTGGGGGAGTCGCCGGTGCAGGTTAGAAGCCCTAAACCCTAAACTCTAAACCCTAAACCGTTCCGTGAAACTCAATGAAGGAACGATAGCCCAACGGTGACGGGAGAAACGTCGTGCTCGATGGAGGATGTACAAAAGGTGTGGCTTTACCAGTCGCTAAAAGGGGGCTTTAAGGAATTGATACTGCTTTGTCTTCGGCAGAAATCCGAGGAGTGCGGATAATCGGCATCCTACCTGAAAATGTTATGTCTTCTCATATTTCTCATGTCTTATCTTTTGGGGGACCCGTAAGCAAGTATCAGGCAGAGAACTCCGACCCGGTCGTTGGCTTTCAATGAAGAGGGATTCCAGCCTGCCATCGTCAGGTTCGGACTGGTGGGTCTCAGGGCGGAGGGGTTTAGGGCTTCAGGGTTTCGGGGCTTCAGCGTTGTCGGGTTTAGGGGCTATACGTACTACAAGGAGTGCTGCTAGAAGTAAGATGGCCCGAGTTAAGGTGCGGTTCTAACCCCGGGTCTTCGGACGCAAAAGCAAAAAGGCTATAACGAATACCATGCTCTCGACACCCCCAAGGCCCCGAAACCTGAGTCTGCGAAGTGCAAGGCAACGAGGTTTGAGTAGGCAGTTTCTCAAAGTCAGGAGTGTATCCTGATTTCGATGCTGTTCACATCCGCAAGCTCTCGAAACCAAGACTCATCTAATAAGCCATCTCCGCAGCCAGTGTTTGACGATGTCCGACGAGAGACGTGCACCCGTTGGGATCCGCTTCTCCCAAGTGTGAAACCCGAATAGAACCTGGCCGGGCCCCATTTAAGTCGGGCCGCCTATGGTGATCTGCTCGTCTTCGTTGAAATTCACGGAGCGATAGAAGCCGTCGTAGCCTTCGTACTGCAGTTCGTGCTTGTTCCATAGATGCAGGCTCGCTTGGTACTACGATCCACCACGAGTCCTCAGAAAATAAACAAACGAAGAAAGAAAGAAAGAAAGAAAGAAAGAAAGAAACAACCAAACAAAGACTCCGCCTACCCTGCTGCGCATACTTCTGGCAGCATCCTGACTCTTTGAAGCGCTGTCTGGCTGAGTCGTGCAGCCATGTAGTGCATAAGGGTTCACGCCGGAAGAGGCCTAACCAGCCACAACCCTGAAACCGAAACATTCCCAAACCCGAAGCCAATGTAGGGGCCTAAATAATTAGAATGGGGTTTTGGGTCCCATTATACTATAACTATAATAAGGAACCCCAAAAATAGTGTTGGTTATTACTTAGGCCCCCATAGTATCAACACCCCATTCACCCATCCATGGCCCCCAACTCCAAAGAACGAACATCCAAAACAGAAAAGCAAACCATAAACCCTAAACCCTAAAGCCGTCGCAAGAAGACGGGAGGCCCGCTGTCCAGGACTCGGGCACCGTGTCCGACACCTCCTGGATGCCTTCTCCTGGCTGTCGTTGTTTAGGGGCTCAGGGTTTAGGGGTTTAGAGTTTAGGGGTTAGGGTTTAGGGCTCAGGGTTTCGGGGTTTAGAGTTTAGGGTTTAGGGTTTAGGGTTTAGGGCTCAGGGTTTAGGGGTTTAGAGTTTAGGGTTTAGTTTTGGACAAATAGAAATAACATCCCCGTACAGTCCCTAGAAGAGTGTGCTATCCCTTCTGGGTGAATGGAGAAGGATGTTTAGGTTAAAAGTTGAGCAGGATTTTGTGGATGCCTTCTGCTGAGATAATTCTTGTGTTTTGGTCCTTTCGGGTCTCGGGCGCTTCAAGGCTCTTGGGGTTCGTGCAGTAGTAGAAATAGGGAGCGTGAAAGCGGTCTTGTAGAGATCCTGGAAGTAACAGTTTAGGCTTTACGTAGGTTTTGGGAATCGAGAAAAGGGCTTAGGTACTTATGATCAACGGTTCCAGGGTTTGGGGATTAAGGCTGTAGGGTTTAGGGTTTAGGGTTTAGGGTTTAGGGTGTAGGGTTTAGGGCACAGGCTATGGGAAGCCAGTCTCTAAACCCATGGACCCCAAGCCAAACCCTGAACCCCAAGCCCCAAACCCTAAACCCGTGGGCCCTAAACCAAACCCCCCAAAACCCGAAACAGACTACACTCACCCTAAACCCCAAACCCTAAACTCTAAACCCTAAACCCTAAACCCTAAACCCTAAACCCTAAACCCTAAACCCTAAACTCTAAACCCTAAACAGACTACACACAACTCCGGATCTCCTAAACTTTAAATCCGAAGACTTCTGCACACTCAACAATTGGAGGAGCTCCCGGATTGTAGTTCGTCAGGGAAGCTTCGGTTTTTCGGCACCACTTCACAGAGTCCGGGGCTTAGGGTCGGACAGTAACTAGTATCTTCGGGGAGGAAGAGAGAGGGAGAGAGAGTGACGAAGTAGACATGCTCACTCCTCCACCGGGGCCTCCAGCTACACTGGCTCTTGGGATGTATGTGCGCTTGATTGTGCTTGTATCATCAGCAATGATGGCCGCATAGAGAGAGAGAGAGA